AAACACAATCAATTATTTTCCACAAATCAAAATGTCTAGATTTAACAAATAATTTAAATCTAACACACCATTGAGCATAAGAGAAATTATCTAATTTAGGAGCAACATTAATAGCATAACCTAGGCTAGGTGCACCGTGCATGTCCATGATATATTATGCAAGAAAGATGAAAATTATCAAAATAAGATTAGCACAAATATGAAAGCTTGGATCTTTAACTCAAGGCGGTTAAGCCACAAATCAAAGAGAACCAAGCTCTGATACCAATTGAAAGCACCCTAGAGGGGGGTGAATAGGGTATGTGCTAATCTAATTTGATTTAATACCAATTTAAAACTTATCAACAAATATATCCTAGCAAGATTAATACTCAATGAACTAAAGCAAGGATATACATGCAAAGGAAAAATAAACAAGAAACGATATAAACAAATAATGGATACAAAGAGCAATACAAACACAATAATATGATCACGGAGTTCTATCCTTCCGACCCACGTCTCCGCTCCCCAGTCTCGGGGAGAATCCACTAACACAACGGGTTTTTGATGTTCACCCAAAATGTTCACAATCGGTTTTCAACGCTTACCGACAAACATTTACAACACACACAATGTAAACACACTCTACACCCTCTAAGTATTTGCCGAGCCCGTGTCCTCTTCCTCAAGTGCTCGGATTTATAACCTCTCACTAGGCTTTACAACTGACGTCACTTCTCTTGGAATCGACCCCGTCTCTCACCAACCACTCCTCTCGGTGTACAAGTATAATACAATGTGTAACTCACAATAAGACTCAAATAAAAATGATTTGTTCTCTATAATGGATGAGAATACAATATAAGCTCACTCTCACAGTATCACAATCCCACAACCCAATATATAATATATGAAATACTAAAACCTCAAATAGGGATGTGTGTGATAAAATGAGTTCAATAAAATCTTACTCAAATAACAAACTAGCAATAATATGAATATAAAAATCAGTAATAAAATGCTTGATAAATAAGTTAAGAAAAAATTCTCTATAAACACAAAAGAGAGGATAAAAATGATTGATGATGAATTTCTCAATTGACAATGTAAGCTTCCTCTTTGTAAACGAACACCAAACTTGAGAAGAAACTTAAACAAACTTTTAATCCCTTTAAAACTCTTGTTAAAACCCACTTAGATAATTTTCAGGAGTGAAACAGTAAGGAGTATTTATAGGATGAAAACCGAAGCCCAAAAACCAAGAAAACCCAGCAAAAAGATAAAAAATGCAAAGGGCTAGAAAAACTAGCCGTTACAAGTGTCGGTCGACTGATACTGTTCATTAGTCGACTGATGAGCTAACCGTTATAGACAACTAGCAGCTCATCGGTCGACTAAAGGCTTCATCAGTCGACTGATAGTTTATCAGTCGCAAAAACAGATAGTTTTGACAATTCTGGGCGTATTCATCAGTCGACTGATAAGGACCACCAGTCGACTGATAACATGTTTTCAGCCTGTTATGAATAGTAAAAACGAATTTCAAACCTTTTTAAAAATAGAAAATAAATTTTATAAAATATAAAACTTTGGGAAAAGTTTATAAACATAAATATGAACATGTTGGAAAAGGAATTTTTCAATTTGCACTTACCATTTGTGAAATCTTAGAAATATTCAAAAACACTAAAATACATGTGTATTTAAACATGTTAATTTTGACATTTTGCTCAAATCAAGTTTTGAAAACTTGTGTAATGTTTTTATGGACTTAATAAAAGATGTTTATAATGTTTGTATAGTCCAAAGCATGTTATATTTTACATAAAAATACCTATGATTTGAGAAATTTCACAAATAAATGTATGTGTAAAATTTGAGTTTGAAGAATTAGCACACATTACATATAAACCTATACTAAGTATATCAAGAGTGAATTATATGAAGCTTGAACTTGATTAGTTGACTTAGTTTGCATAGGCTTCAATATCAATGTAGCTCATTTTCCTGTGTATACTAAACAACACAAAACCAAAATACTAAAACCAATATTAGTCGTAAATTGTTTGTTAAATCATCATCAAAACAAGAAGGCCAACAACACTATCATTCTTCCTCTTAGAAATTCCTTTATCGTTGAGGTGATGGATCGAGATTTTGGACTTTTTCTAAAGGTTGAGATAATTCAAGTTGTTTAATAAAATAAGAAGCTCAAACTAGATAAGATATATCTAAATTCGTCTTGTGAAATAATATAATTACTTTTATTTTTGCTTTTATAAACTTTTCATCGATAACTTTATAGTTTGTGTGTGAATTTTTATATGAACTATCATCATGGTTCACTTGTTTTGAAGTTATATATGTATCTCTGGTGCTATTTTTCTACAAATTTCTTTGTGAATCAATGTGTATTTCTCTTCTTTTTACCTTTGGATAATTTTTATCTAAATTCTCAAGTATATTGCATATCCTCGGTGTGTTTTTCTTTTGCTAATAACAAAAGGGGGGAGAAAAGGTGAAAATCTGAAATATTTCATGAATGTTTGTGCAATATAAAGGTTTTTCCTATCCAATTATTTTCATGATTGATTTTTGGCCAATTGATTTCATGATTGATCCTTAGATTTGAATTTTTTTTAAACATCTAATGCTTTGTTTCAGGGAGAGAAAATTTCTTTGTTTTAGGGAGAGTTTCTGGAAAACTTGTATACATTTAATACTTTCATGTATAGCAAACTTGTAGGGGGGAGCTTTGCATTCTTTTGCATGAAATATATTATGTACTTATTTTGTACTGAATATATATCTCACAATGTTTTACATTCTGTATTTAAATTTTGAGTTTTGTTATTATATTATCAAAAGAGGGAGATTGTTAGAACGTTGTTTGTGGAATATCTCTTGTTTGATTAATAACAAACTCTCATTTACTACTGATATGTTTTGTGAGACGATATATTTCAGGTTCAAATAGAAACGAGCAAGATGGTTTTAAAATGATTCAAAAATCAGCATAACGTTGATTTCAACCTTCTAACCATCGATGGTCAACAGTGACCCATCGATGGTTACGGGAACCACTCGGAGAAAAATAGAAACATTAGTTGGTACCATGGATGGTCTACAGTGCACTATCAATGGTCACAAGCTTATGACCATAGATGACTACATGAGACAATCAAAGAAATTTAGAAACCAGAATCAACACAATCGATGGCTACAGTCGAACTATCAATGATCATCAAGAGACCATTAATGGTCATGATCTACCATCGATGGTTATGAGACGTTTTGGCACTTTTGACAAGTTCTCCTATATTTAATCTCAATTGTTTATTAAACCTTTTGATCTCCTATTTGCACTCATATTTGGGTATATCTTTCTTGTCCTATCGAGACCCATTCAAAGAGACTTGGAGATCATAATAGAAGAGAGAACAATAGAGGAGTTCAAGGAGGTAAATATACGAAAAGAAGAGATCTTTGTTCTAGGATTTGAGAGAGAGAGAGAGAGAGAGAGAGAGAGAGAGAGAGAGAGAGAGAGAGAGAGAGAGGGTC